CTGTTCCTTATTTACTTTCCTTGAAACCTCTCTCACCTTACACTTAAGGTATAATGAATTTTTTCTTCCATACACTATAACGAGGACTGGAAGCAGGTAGATTTGTTCCCGAGGGTTGCTTCACCTGCAGAAGCCAGACCCCTTTCCTGTGATTCCCTCCATTGGTCTAACTTCCTCCTCTTTTACCTTGCAAGGATCTTGTCCTAACTGAGTGTGTTCTTTGCTCTGGGCTCCGTGCCCACTGCTTCGGATGCCTCATCTCCTTTTATCCTCACAACTACCCCCTGAGCCAGGGGCTGGTGTTACTCTCAGTTCACAGATTAAACTCTGGTTTGTCTCTTCTCTATCTGGCTCTGCTTCTTCTACTTAGGAAAAAAAAAAAACAAAAGCAAAAACAAAACCGATCATCCTAAAGAAAGTTTAAAATGCTTTTAGGTAAGACTGAGGGGTGGAGATGAGGAATGAAGAGTAAGCTGCATAGTTATCCAAAGCCACTAGCTTTACTTAAATTAGGTCCCCATATACTCTTCCGTGGCCTCAAAAAACTGCAGCGTGGTCCCTTTGTCATGTGGATTGGTTCCCAATCTGGACCACACTCCCTGCAACCCCCCAATCACGGCTGGCCCCTGAGAGTAGCAGTATTTAGTGGATGTTATTTGTATTTCTTCTTATGCATTTTGGTCGTCACCACTGCGGAGTCAGTCCAGCAGGATGCTTTGGCCTCGCGCGGCTTTCCGCACGACGATTCCACTCTATCTGACATCCCTTGGGTACCACTTGGAAAGGACGCTCCCCCTCCCGAGGCCCCAGCCTGACTGCTGTACCTTCCTCGGGCCGCTCGCTCTCCAGCAGCGCCACCACCTCGGTGCCCTCGTCGCCGGAGCCGCGGACCTCGTCCACGTCCACCACCGTGGCTGCGGGTGCTCGGGGCTCCCCGGGGCCCCCTGCCCGCCCGAGGTCCGGCTGCTCGCGCCGGGCATCCCGACGCCCGCGGCCGGCGCCGCCCCTCTGGGCCTTCCCGCTCTTGTTCTCCTTGCGGGGGGACCCGCCGCCTCTCCCGTGGGACTCTCTGGAGGAGCTCCGAGCCCTTTTGTCCATCCTCAGAGAGGCAGGGGCTGGGAGCGCTGTCCCTGAAGAATCGCGAGCAGGATGCTGGGCCCGTCTCGCGGGGGACCATAATGACCGTGGGCTGGGCTGGGGGCGGGGCCTGGGGCGGGTCTCGGGCGCGGGCTCTGCTCCTGGTGACACGCGGCAGCTGCTCTCAGAGGAGCTGTAGACAGGGCCCGCCAGACCCAAGACTGGGTGCTACTTACAACAGTGAGTTGGTGTGAAAGCCCGTGTGCCAGGTCACGATGTTTAAAAATGTGTTTCTATAGACGAAGAGCTGTTAGGGAAGATGCAGTCACCTGAAATGCCACCGCAGATGGCTGTGATGGCACTGTTTTGTGATTTGTAAACATGGTACATTCGAAACAGTTTGTGGTCCTCTGTCGTGCCACAGAGCTTAAGAGGGAACAGAAAAGGTCATCGAATTAGGGTAACTTTCAGGTAAAATTAGAAACTTCTCCCCAAGCCCTTGGAGTCTTCCCAAGGGCCCTTTTCTCCTCTCCGCCCCAATTTATTTTTGTGCCCAGGCGCTACTCTTCCTGCTAACGCTTTAACTGGTAATGGTGTTGGCTGTCTACTCCCAGGAGGATTTACATTTCAGAAGGGGGAAAGGAAAACTCTTTTAGACTTGTATTCTCTCTCTCTCTTTTTCACACACACACACACACACACACATACACACACACACACACACACACACACGTCTTTAATATTTTACTATTGCGTAAGCCTGTTGATGGTATAATGCTTCTTGAAAAATCTTGAAAAATTGAAAAATCAATTAACTTACGCCTTTAGGGAAGGGACACTTTCGTCCTTGACGAGGCCCTGTTCCCATGCTTCCTTGATGAAGGCAAGGGTTTTGCTTTTTCCAGCGTCGCTGGCAGTGCTCCATCCAGCAGCAAACCGGAGGAGTTGCTCCAGTTTGAAATGAATAGATGTCTCTTTTATTCCCTATTAATAACTTGTTTCTCACTGAATGGGAGGTTGATCTAGGTAACCCTTCAAACTCAAGATTTATGATTCTACTCAAATAGCTCAGATCACATGATGGTAGAAATAATGTTCACTTATTTTTATTTTTCAGTATTTATTGAGTTCACACCATGGTAGTTACTTTCTTCTCAATCTTATTAAAGAATGAGGACCAGAAGTAACTCCAGTGGAACTAGAAAAACCATTATACAACTTTCTTCCATATGTTCCAAGTTAGGCCACTGAGAGCAAAGGAATTAAAAGATTAGTACGAAAATAATTTATTTAGATTTGGTTTTTACTCTAAACCTGATTATTGCACAGGATACCTAAGGGAGGACAAATGTTCCCTCTCAAGTCCCTACCTCAATTATTAGTTCCTGCCTAGAGCAGCAGTACAATGAGAAAAATTCTGAAGAGGCACTTGGCCCATAGAGGAAAAAGTATCATAATTGTTTAGTATGCACTTAAATTAATAGTTGCTATGAAACATAGCTAGTTTATCATCCTGTAAAGATTGTCCCGTTTGGAAAAGCATGAAACTGTAGCACTTTGGATTATTTTTTTCTCAGCCTTTGATTCTGTTACAAATTAATTTGATGCAGAATCTTAAACTAAACTCAAACTAAAATTTCACATAAATTTTCACTCCAAGAATTAGCAGGATATTCGATCAAATGATACTCTCAAAACTGTACCTTGTCTCCCAATAAGATAGAGGGATTTCTTGCAGGAGAAAAACAAATGAGAAAAGGCCCTACTTGGTGTTGGATTCCATGTTTGGTGCTTCTTCTGTTTCCTTTGCTGTGGGACAACTGACGAGTTACATAATCATTACTTCGTTTTCTATATCCATATATAACAGAAACCAATACAAGCACCTGCTTATAACACAGGACTGTTGGGATTATGAATGACAAGGACGATATCTGAGAAAGTACATCGCATTCCATGGTAGAAAGGTCAACGCGGCATTTCTGAAAGATGGGGGAGGCGGGGAGTGCTGAGACGGCAGCGTGAGTCGCTAGCTGGCTGGCCGCATCGACTCTTACGATATTGCTGTTTTCTTTTAGATTCCTTTTTAATTGAAAGTGTCGGTCATCCCTTTGTCGGAAAATATTATATGTAAACATTTAAAAACGATGAATACTTGACTCCTTGTTTGGATTGGTGACAAGACTGACATCTATGGGAACGAGGTTAGGGCTGAAGAAGGGGAGGACCAATTAAAGTTGTTGACTTTTGAATTTGTCTCTAAGACAAAAGGTCATGAAAGATTTCAAGGCTTTCTAAATTATACTTATTTCATTTAGCGCTTTCAAAATTTATGTCCATATGGATAAACAAAGGAGTGAATATTAATTTACATGATTTACTTAATGGAAAAGCTGGAATTCATTGTCACTAGATAAAATTGCAAATCTTACGATTTTAGAGCTAGAGGAAACCATAGGAACTTAAATTTGACTTTCTCAATTTGACTTTGTTAAATTTGACTTTCTCAATTTGTGGATGGCCGAGAGACCAACCAAGACCACATAGCAATGACCTAGGAAAGTGATGCTGTTGAGGGCTGAATCTGAGGCTTTGGCAGTGGGCCTGTATCCAGGAAATTTCCAAGGTAAAAATATCCACAGAATTTGCTGACCTCATGGGGTTATGGAGGAGGGGCAGTGAGGGGATAGAGGACTTAAGAGGGAGGTTTCCATCTTTATAGGCTGAGCAGTTGGTTATACTGCAGGTGTCTCTGTCAGAGCCACTTGCCCTAACTATACTGACCTCGAGCATCTGTGTTGCATATTTTAAAGTTGCTGAGGGAGTAGATTTTAGAAGTCCTCAGTACGAAAAAAAATTTTTTTGTAACTATGTATGGGGATGGATGTTAACTAGTGCTCATTTCCCAATATATACAAATATTGAATTACTATGTTGTACACCTGAAACTAATGTTATAGATTAAATGTATCTCAATTTAAAAAAATTCAAGTATATGTTAAATGAGAACAAAAAGAATCTTGAACTTTCACACACACAAAAATTTTGTTTCACATGGGTACATGAAATTCCTAATCAAGACTTTTTAATGATAAGCTCTTTAAATTTTTGTTACCATCGATGAGAAATGCATTCACACGATTTTAAAATTTTATTTATTTTCCAGCTTTGAGGTATAATTGACAAATAAAATTGCATATATTTTAATGTGTACAACATGATTTGAAATATATCGTGAAATGATAAAAAAAAAGTTGTAAAAACTATTTTTACAATCACTGAAAAATTTACAACAGTCGAACTTAATGAATCGACTCTCTTTTCTTTCACCAACGCGTGTAATTTGGTACTTCTTGTGATTACGTAAATGGATTTGAAATCCAAGCTTTTTCATAATGGTTCAAAATAATGATGACACTTTAGGGAACCCAGCACGTGCATTAGTAGGAACAATCCCAGGGCATCTCGAGTGGAAGCTTCCAAGAGTGCCAGGTGACACGCCCAGCTAACTTCGCCCCGCCCCCTGCCCGCCCCACTTCCCGACGGGCTCCCCGGGACCACGCTGTGCGCGTCTGGACCGGGAACATCATCAGCTGGCCCGCAGGGGCGGTCGTGAGGCGGAAGGAAGTCCTTGGTAGCGCCCAGCTTCTTGAAGCATCAGTGAGTGTTGAATGGCTCTTACCTTGCTACCTGCAGGCCTGTGGGCACGTCGGCTAACCCCACTTGGTTGTCTTCTGAAAAGTCTAGGTGGAGGCTACTTTGGGTTGGAGGGCTCCCTTCTCCACAAACCCTTTCCCTAACCCTCTCCCTAACCCTCAAGCTGGCCCTATGGGCTGAGAAAATCGGTATGAGACCGTACACGCTAATCTGGTCTTAGCACATGCGGTGGGAAACTGCTGTAGAGCGATGGTTCTCACTTTAGCATGTATGAAAATCACCTGGAGGGCTTGTTAAAACACTTTGCTGCACTCTCCGCCACCAGCCACGTACCCCCAGTTTCTGATTCAGCAGGTCTGGGGTGCGGTCTGAGGACTGGCATTTCTAATACATTTCCAGGTTATGCTGCTGCTCTGGCACCACACGTTGAAAACCATTGTCTTAGAAGTTAAAAGTGTTTTCTGCGTACTCCATTTAAAGCAGCCCCTTCTTATTCCCTTACCATGGGTTTATTTTTCTTAAGGGCACTTATCCTTACTTGACTTTATGTATGACATATTTATCTGCTTTTTGCTTGTCCTTTGGTAAGATCCAGGAGGGCAGGGACTTTGTTTTGCTCACCGATGTAGTTCCATCTTCTAGGACAGTGCCTGGCACATAGTAGGAACTGAAAAGATATTTGTTGCTTGAATGAGCATGCCTATTAGAAGCCAAAGCTGAAAAAGGTCATTCAGGAAGAGGGGGAAAGCGTAAAAAGGAGAGGGGCCAACGACAGACCCTGAGGTACATGAACATTTTAATGGAATAACAGAAATAAGAAATAGCAGAAAGCTAGGAGCCAAGCCTGGTACACAGCAGCTTCCTAGAGATCCAGGGGAGGACACCAAGAGTGAACAGCAGAGATCATCTAAGATGAAAAAATGGAAGAGTTCTTTATCAATTAGATTTGTCAATAATTTTGGTAAAAGTAACTTAAGAAAGATGTCCAGAGTTAGCAGGCTGATTGCTTTGGATTGAGTATTGAATGGTAGATGAAAAAGTGGGGGAAAAAAATGAGTGTGGACTGTTTATTCAAGGATTTGCCTAGAGGGGGATATAGGTCAAAAAGAGTATGTTTCTCTGTCTCCCTCTCTGTGTTGTATGTGTGTGTGTGAGATAAAAAGGACTAAAGCATAATTTTGTTACTGAAAAGGAGTCTGTAAAGAGATGCTGAATATACAGGGCTGTGTAATAACAAGGTCCTAGAGGGGTTGAGGGATAGACCCAAGAGTAGGATGGGTGGGTAGAATGGATGACCCCTCACCCTCTGAGACCAGGAGGAGAGATGTGAAGGGGGCCAGTTTAGGTGCCTGGGCTGGAAGTTGAGGGGGTTCACATGTGAGAGCCTCCATTTTCTGTGGGAGTCGGAGCAGAGTCGTTTTTGAGTGGCGAGGCAACAGTGGGTAAGAAGTATAAGAGGGATGGCAAAGGCTTGGAGTAATTGCTGGGAAACAGAATTGAACAGTGGCATCAGATGTCCCTCAACTCGGCATAATGTTAAAAAGCTTTCAGAGGTAGGAATGCTGTGTTGATTCTATCACAAGCTTCTAATTCACCCATCCCCTCACTATGTTTTTCAAAAGATTTATTCTTGTCATGAGGCATATAGTAAAGCTTCAGAAGCTTCACACACACACACACACACACACACACACACACACACACACACACACACACTCTTTGTCTCTGTCTGTCTGTCTGTCTTTGTCTCTCCCTTTACTGGCTATTTTCTAAGACAAGAATGCTGGTAAGGGCAGCTGGAATTGAAATATACTCCCAGATGCAGGCAGGGATGGGAGGAGACCAGGTGGAGACAGTTAATTACTAGAAGTGGGCTCTGGTCATCGTAATAGGCAGCAGGGTGGAAAACAGACAGGTTTTGACTCACAGAGCTCTCTGGTTGTAGTTAATTAATTGTCGGATCCCAAGGAGTGAACTCAACAAACAACTCGCCAAGTCTTTGTGTAACAACAAAAAGCAAAAAACCAACAAAACACAGTTCTAGGTCTGGGGAACAGAGGCATCTCATAGGCAAGAGACATGACTTGTCACCTCATTCTCAGAACTAAGTCAGACCCCAGTCCCAGAGCCTCTTGAGTGTAGCCCAAATATTATTAAAGAAGGATGCTGTGGAAATGCTGTACCTCAGTACTGCAGCCCTTCACCCCAGCCCTTCCCTAAAGGCTTTGTGATCCCTTATGGATAAACCACTCTGGAGAAAGTAAGTGCCCAAATTTTTCAGTGACTATCACTAATTTCTGGGCCCCCAAATGTCATGGTTTGCCATCAACATTCTGAGTTTATAGGGGTTAGGTGGTAAATGAATTCTGGCCCAAGTTCACGTTTGGGCATGGCTAATCTTCTGGTTATGCACCCTACTTGCCGATTAAATACCTGGAATAAGTCATCTTAGCAACTGACAGAAATCCTACATTGGTGCATTCACTCACTGAGTAAGGGCTGTTCCGACAGAAAATGCCAAGTGGAGTGCCAAAATAGTACATCAGAAGCATTACCACATACCCGGAGAAGTGCAGAGTGTCACCATCAAAGGCATGAAAGATGCAGGTGTGATGGTTCCCACCTCATTCCCATTCGCTTCCCAGGCTAGTCACCATAAAAGACTGTTGGTCATGCAGAATGGCAGTGCATTATTGTAAACCCACGCAAGTGAGGATTGCAATTGTAGCTGCTCTTCCAAATGAAGTCTCCTTACTGAAGCAACCCAGACACTTGGTTTGTAGTTACTGATCTGGAATTTAGCTATAGAATATCTTTTTAAAACTTTTTTTTTCACATTCTGCACCAATGACTTTCTAGATTCAATCATAAGTTTCGTTTTTATCGCCTATCATTTTTTTATATCCCTGTTTATAGCTGTATATCAGTTTCTTCACTCCTAAATGGGATTCATAATTGTACCTTTCTCACAGTAATTAGGAAGAAATTTAGATAATCTATGTTAAGAGCATATAGTAAGTGCTAAATATTTGTTACTTATTATCTCAGATAATTGGGGATGAGAATCTGGGATCATGTGTTTTTTTCAATTCATCGTTCATTTTACGGGAGTCATTCTCTAGTTAGTGAGATAAACTTTCTGAATCCTTGCAAGTCTTGAAATGTGTTTTCTCCCACTTGAATGTTGAATTGGCTAGGTAAAAGATTTGTTTCCTCTTTGAAGATATTGGCCCACCGAGAAATCCAATAGTAATCAAATTTCCATTGCTTTATAGGTAACCTTTTTCTATATAGAATCTTTTGATTCCCTTTCTTCTGGCTTTGTCTAGGATATGATCTTTATTCACTAGTTATTCTAAGGATTTTGTGGGACCTTTTAATCTAAAAATTTGTTTTGCTTCAAATCTGGGACGTTTCCTTCTTTTTAACCCCCCAGCTGTCACCACTATTCTTTCTATACCATCTGTCATTAAGCTGTTGGAATGTCTGGATCCAGTCTTCATGTCTCGTCCTTTACCTTTTTGTTAATTTGGTATTTGGCCCCGTCCATTCTGCTGTATATCCGCTCATAAACTTTTTTTTAACTTTCTGTCAGGGGTTCCTCAATATCCCTGGCTTGTTGATGGAACATTTTGTTCTCTAGAGCTTTTTTTGGATTTATTGTGCCGTGCAATTTCAGATGGAAGATAATAAGGTCGATGTGGGCGCTCAAGTTTCTTTCTTGATTTAAATTCCTTTATTTTTCTTGGTTTGTCTTGTTCTTTTAATTAGATTGTACATTTTAAGGTAAAAAAAATTTTTTTATACTACGCCTTTCTATTCTGTACCTTTTAAAACTACTGTTTTCTGGTTTTTGAGGACCTTATGAATCTGACTCGTTCCACCCATGCAACAACCACATCCACAGGTTATTTACCCAAATACATCCTCGTCTTTAGTCTCCCAGCTCTTGTATTTGCAGCGGCACCTGCAAAGTTCTTTGCTCGTTCGGGAAGCCCTCCTCACCTCATCCATTACTCTGGCTCTGCAGTGATTCTCCACCAAGCAGTAGAATTGCCTGTAATTTTCCCTAACAGACCCAGACCTATTGAATCAAAATCTCTGAGTAGACCTGGACATCATTTGTCTTCCCCCTTAAATAAGCTCCACAGGTGATTCTGAGGCACACCCAGGTTAAGAACCTCTCAGTCTCCTGCTCCCAGCTGCCGGTCCCCAGGGCGGGGCGGTCCCTACCGCTCTCCCGCTTCCCCCTTGCCGGGAGGGAGGTGGTTGGAGAGGGTCTCTCGCGCAGCCCATCTCCAGTCTTCCAATCACGTCGAAGGAGGAAGGCGCCGGTGATCCCAGGAGGCAGCCAACGCTGCCTCGGAGCCCCGCCAAGCGGCCCCGCGACTGGGACGGACCCCAGACTGGACCCCCGACCGGCCAGCCCTGCCCAACCGTC